GCCTGCCTTAACGGAGAGAGGGGATATTTAACGCCTTGGCACTTATTGTTGTAAGCCTGTGATATGCTGTCCCTGGGCTTTACAGGCCCAGCAGGACCATCACACGTGGGACTAGAGACCAGCCTGGCTCTCCCTGTAGCTGCCCTCCTAACTTGACCCCAGAGGTTGAGAAAGAAAGGGGAGAGTGCAGCCCTCACAAAGACAGCTGAGGGTAAAGAGGCCTTCATGATTGTCTCCAAAAACCGGGCAACCAGCTGGACCGCCCTCCTGAGACATCAGTGAGCACTCCAGGGCTGATGGACAGGGAGAGAAGTTGTGCTGAAAGTTGCTGAAAGCTGACGGCCTTTCAAGATATCAGCCCTCATCTGGATTTTGACGGTGTCTCAGCACAGCCCCCAGCCTCAGCAGATTAGCAGCCTCTGCATCCTGGCTGTGCTTTAATGTACTATTTCTCTCCACAGAGGTCTTTACAGCTTTTCCTAGGTTGCTGTTAAATAAGGTCTCCAATTCTAGCCTGCATGTTGTCCATGCAATCCATGTCTGATTTTTCTGTGTTATTTCTTTACAGTTCACCCGGTATGACCGAAACCCAACTGCATTTCAATTCTTCAGTGACAAGATTCTTGCAATCCCATGTCTTGCTCAGCATCCTGCCAGACAGGAGAGACAGAGGAATTAATTTTTGAACAAAAGGAGAGTACCTAAAACCTCTTATTAGAGGATGTGAAGGACCCTGATGGCACTGCTCAAGAAAGTAAACGAGCTCAGAAGAAGAACCTTGTCAGGTAAATTTACAGTGGCTGGTAGGTCGTGCAAGGGCAAACTCAGCGAGAAGACCCTACTCTCTATGAAGGAGCAGAGGAACTATGAAGGATATGGGGAGGAGCGCGTCAGAGTCTATTGGCCCTCAGACTGCTGTTTGGGACGTGTAGGTGTGCAGGGATGGCTCTCTTCCAGAAGGGTGGCAGGGCCACCCCACCATCAGAGCATGCCTCCAGAGAGGTGGAAGGGGGAGGCTAAACCCAGGCACTGCTGGAGGCTCTCAGGCCCTCCTTGGCTTTCAGCATTTAATACATTTCACAAAGGGCTTCCTCGGCATCATATAGGAAAGCCCAGGGCCAGTGCAACTCCTGTTCTGTGTTCCTGACAGGAGAAGTAGAATCTTCACCTGCTGTCTGGCATGCACAGCTTTGGGGAGCCGAAATTAACTCATGATGTCCCCCCAAGAGGGGAAGAGAGAGCTGAAAGGCACTAAAACTCAGTCCTGCCACCTCCTTCTGCTATGGTTTGGGCAAGGTGACACAAGGATGCAGCAGCTCACTGTGGAGCTCAAAACGCAGACAGGTTTTTTGGTCTTTAGGTTGTGTGAAGGAGACAGAAATAATAATGTCGTTTTCAAATTTCACTTTCCTACCATGTAATAACCGGAGCAGCCTAACCCCTGACTTTTTCCTGCGTTCTCCCCGGAAATGCAGTTTTCTGAGATTTCTAGTGCCAGGTTCAACAAGGGAGGGAGGTGGCTTTGACTCACCGGCTTGCTTTGTGACATCTCAAGCCGCTTTTCGACTCTGCTTGGGATCAAACAGCCTCCAGTTGCCATCTTACACATAGCCTTTCCCTCACAAAACCTCCCAGCGAGACACGACATGGCACTGGCGTGTACTGCGGCATCGGTGTTTGTAATCAACAGACCAGGACGGTCCGTGGCTCTGTTCACATTACTGTGTTCTGGGCTTTCTAATACAGATCAAAACAACCATCATACCCTGGGGCAAATGAAATCCCAGTGAGCACTTTGCCTTCTTAAAAGCTTTATTTTCTTAAGCTTAAGATGTCCAATACCTGAGCTGAATTCATACCTGGCTTTTTTGCAGTCGGCTGCTTGGATATCCTAGGAAGGTAAGAAAGCAGATGCTGAAGATAGCTCAAATTAGCATCGAAACCAGTCACATGGAAAACTGCCTTTAAATACTGAATAAGACAGAGAAAAAAAAAAAAGGCTGTCAAAGTCAGAGATACCCACAAAAGCTGAAAATATGCTTAGGGCGTGTGTGACACTCTGCAAAAGCCTGCAGGTCAGCAGTCCACCGCTCTAACATGACTTCTCTGCTGTCCACCCATTAAAGTCAACCTCTTTGTTGGAGGCAAATCCACCCGAAAAATTGAAGCTGGAGATAAGTAGAGTGGCTGAGGTCCCAAAAGCAAAGCATTTCCAAGTACAATTTGCAAGACCTCAGCCAAGAGCTCGCATCTTTGTTGCCCGTGGGCTTATATTATTATTATTGTTGTTCGTATGATGTGGCTTTCTGTCTGATCTGTGGTCTTCTAACCCTACTTCTACCACTTCTCAATGTCATTTTCCACTTTTTGGAGGAGAAATTGCCTGGGCTTTGTCCTTTTGGGAAGATAAAAGAGGGAAGCTGGCAAATTAAAGTGCATTAATGCAGGCTTCCCATTTTAGCACTTTTTTAAGACCAGTCCCAGTTCTTCCCTAAGTGTTTTGTTATTATTTAACACAAAAGAATGGAAATGAAGCCTAAGACCAGCTAGAATTCCTCCTCCTCCTCCTGCTGCTGCAGAAAATGGTAGAAACCATCTGTAGGCCTCTAAAGACAGGTATTTTTCTCTGGTATCCGATCTGTCAGATCAGCCTTTTCTTTATTCCCAGGCGAATGTGACTTCTGTGTACAATCCTGGCTGAGGAAGCCCTTAAACACCTTGTTCTGCTCCAACATGACAGGAGATGACCTTTCTTCGCCACCTCCCAATCTCCACAACTCGCCAAGCTGTGGTGGGGAGTGGAGCAATACACCTACACTAAGTCTTTTAATAAGATGGCTGTAAGTCAGGTTTCAGCGTACACTTCCCAAAAATCATATGGCTTCTGGGTGAGTCACAACAGCAACATTACTGTTCCCTTTGCATTCGGACTCCTACATACACCACAGTTTACTGCGCAGCCAGAGTCCATTAGCAGAAGGCATCAACATCATGATCTTGGGTCACAAAGAATGAAATTGACGGGGTTTTTAATTGTTACAATCATACTTACTTGCACGGACTCTGTGCGGAGAGCATGAAGCATGCATTGAGTCTATTTGAGTGGCTTTGTGCTTCTTCCGTGCCTAATTACCTCTGATGCCCCCTCAAAATGCTCTGTCTAAAAAGCTCTGGAAGTTCACTTGCCACTATCATTTTAAATAAAGATAACTACCAGCTTTGTTTTGTTTTGTCCTCTCTTTACCTGCCTTCCCAGTTCTCTCCGACATGAAGGAAAATGAGGTGGCAGCAGAGAAAAATTCTGACTTCACTCACTCAACTAGGATATATGCAGTTTTACGCCAATCATTCGAGGAATTATAGGGCCAATAGCAGCAATGTCATTAGGAAAAAACAGAATATTTTAATATTGTTAATTTATTTAATATCATATTACACCTTTATGTCAGTTGCACAGTTGCAGCAAGACTTTTTTTTTTTTTTTTTAAGAAAGTCCTGGTTTCATTCTCAGGGATGATAATGCGCTGCACATAAAACACGAGCCTATTTGGGGTTGCAACATTTGCCACCTGAGGGTTGAAGAGGGGAAGGCCCCAAGACTGCAGCTACTGAAACACGCACGCCTGAGTGGGAGTCGAGTGGGTATTCTTTACTCAGAACACGTCAACCGAGAGAGGGAGCAGCAGAAATGAAACGAGATAGAAAGCAGGAGTATAAGAGAGAAAGCGGTACGCCTCTTCAGCTTCGGCTTCAAGTGTTAGGTCAGTCTGTGTATAAAGGGATGATGTACGATCTGCTGCAAGTTTTATTATTTCTTAGAAGGTCTCTTGTTTCTTTCCTGGACTAGAATACTGCAAAAGTAATAATGTCATATGTTAACGTCCTGGAAATAAAATTTGAAGATTATTCAACAAAGACTCAGGTAACAGCAAAGGCTTGAGTAATTCATATTCAAAAATATTTAATTTTCAGATGTTCATTATATGCGTTAAATTCTTGGTTACAGCAAAAATATTGTAACATACAGCATCACAGTGACATATAATCAAGCCATAACGGTGCAGTTTATTACAACTGTGTAAACAAAAAGAAGTATTTCTGTAATGGCACTCGTCATGAACCAAGTTGTGGCATACAGAATCTCAGCAGAAGTCAAAAGAAACATTTATAAAGAAAAGAAAACGCCAAATTGAAGCACAGTATATGAACCTGGCCCGATCCACATTTCATAAGAGAAAAAAGTGTCCTCAATATTTTTGCTTGCTTGCTTTTAAGGAAATTCAATCTGAATTTTTTCAAGGCATCAACCCAGCATGTGAAATGTTTTTACTATTATTGAATGATATGAACAAAGAGTAAACGTCTCTTAATTATGACCATGTGAATAGCTCCTACTGTGACATTATTAAAGGAGACAAGAGATGATTTGGGAATGTTATTGTCGGTATAGCATCACACCCACAGAAGACATTCTTTAGGAAGTAAAAATAAGTTATTGAGAAATAAAATCCAATGTGCTCCATCAGAGACACTTTTTTGTGCGTAAATATCGAAGAGAAAAAGTACTATCTTACTTTCCTGTAACAGAAGTAAACAATTTGATTATAAGACAACGTACATACTGTAAACTCTAAGATGGGGTTCGAACTTGAAATACACTCATCTCAAATAGTTTTTAAATATTAGCACCTAAAATGTAACGCTGGGACTTAAACAATTTTAGTAGCTTTCACAACATGCATTAGTCATGGCTTGCTTGACGGATACAATTTTGCCAGCAACGTTTTAGTGTTCCGTGAGATCCTCTTAATAAAAGCACATAGGTCTGAATGCCACTACATTTTACACGTGTACCTGTCACACGGGAAGTTTTGCATATGTTCCATCTGCAGAGAGCAGGCCCCACAGTAGCAGGAGGTATAGATAGAGCAAAGAAGTTACAGTTTTTAAAAACTACTGGAAAACTGGGAGTACGTGATATAATCACAAGCTGGTATCTTCAGTTTACAGAAAGCTATAAATTTGCTTGTTTAAAAAAAGACATCCAACATGTGCTTACTCACATGCTGACACAGAGTTCATGCAAACTATTAAAAAAAGAAAAAAACCTTGTAAATTTTACCCTTCAGAAATGCTGCATATATCTCATCCTCAAATAAACTGAGGCCCCCTCAGAAACAACAGGGACCTAATGTGCGGATCGAATCAAGCAACATGTAATTGCTTCCTCTATAATGAGAAGTGAACAGCAGTATCGAACAGGAAATTTCAGTGAATCGTACTTCATTTCAAACGCTGTTCAGTCCAAATCCAGGTTCACTTGTCATTAAGCAATAAGACTACCTTTATATAAAAAAAGAAAAAGTAGCTATTTTCTTGGAGGAAGGACATTTTCTTCATAATAGCCTGGATTTACTACATTTCCAGCTGGATCATATCTAGCCACCACAAACGTAGAGCCATCACTAGCAGATGCTTTTCCAACTCCCATCTTTTTTGTGTTCTTCCAAACCATTGCTGTGAAGTGACCTGAAGAAAGAGAGATAAACATATGCATTCATTTTAAGTACTAAACCTATATCATTCCCTTTAACACTGGGGGGTGGGGGGGAGAACAGTACAAATTGTTTCTTTCTTTAATAGGAGAACAAACTGAGGACATAAAAAGAAAACTACATCTAGCCTTTTGTCTTGAAAAAGCCTGATCTGATTTAGTTCCACACTACTGTTCCCATTTCCATGTCCTATATCCAAATAAGAATACCAAGGAAGAGAGTCATGAAGAAGTAGTTTGATGAATATCCAATATAAAATTCGACAAAGGCATCACGGTCTTTAGTCCCTGCAGTCTGAACAGCAGTTCGGAGAGTGACTATTATTCATTTGCTTTGACCACCTCATACTCCCCCATGTGTCTGCACGTGCAACTGTTCAAAATAACACTGGTTTTGTGGCTGCTTCTTCCTAGCTGTTACAACCACCCCTGCACTGTGCCACTCTGTCAGTTGTTCCGTCTATGCATAGACAAACCCCACGGGAGAAAATAATGATTTTTCTTCATCTGAAACAAGCTCAGGCGTATCTCTTGCTCGAGCATTATTCAAGGAACAATGTTCTTGCGTTCATTCAACACCAGATTGTCAATATGCCGTCAACAGCCTGTGGCTGATCTCTGAATTATAGCTGAAGTTATCTCTGTGATAAGAGTCATATAACTTGCTAGAGGACACATGTTAATGTAAACAACAACATTTAATAAGACACCTATATGATTCCAATTTAGTATTTTCTACAAATTAATTTATCTTAAAAATAAGTTGCCTTTCCAAAACTTTGGAGTCAGAGGAAAAATATATTTTAAAAAACCCCACAAATGTTGCTTACTTCCTCATTTCTCAGTTTCCGTTTACCCTTTTGTCAGTTTCTAACATAAAAAATTGGGGAACTTCTAGTATTTTTTCCCACTATTTTTTTCCCTAAGATTTAAAAGTAGTTTTTGAAAAATACCAAAAGAAGTTGGCTAGCCGATTTCTTAAAATAAAAGCTGTGTTGTTGAAGAAAGAGTGCCCAGTCTGAACTTACCTGTCCCAGAAGAAAACCCTGGGTTTTGAAAGCTGTAATTTTTTATTTCACTGTACCATCTGTCAGCCACGTCCTTTCCTGAAAGACAGAAGAAATCTGCTGTGCAATCATGACATAAACACAGAAGCATAGCTCACTTATAGCCTGGACAGCAAGATCTTCTGTTAATAGTTGGCGAGAACTTCTAGAAACGTGGAAAAACAGTCTTTTTACTGAAAAGAGGTCTTGAAATGTAGGTTGCATGGTAGCACATGTAACTTACCGAGTATTTCTTGTTTTGCAATAGCTGTTGCTACCCAGTCACTAATTAGTCCGATGCTTTTTGTTAAGCATTTCATGCCACCAATTCCATCAATGACTTGAGTTCTACTTGACGCAAACACCGTCCATCAGTTCCTCCACTGGAGTGCCAGGGACTGCGTGGCCAGCACAGCCTGGCTCAAAGCCCGGGCAGGTGACCCACCAAACAGTGTAGAAGCAGGTAGAGTTCATCCCCTTCAGGGAAGACGTCTGCAACAAGGTGCTCGCCTGGTAGGACAGAGCTGATGAAGAGCGCTACACTATCACCAATAGATCAGGAAACGGGACCACCCACCAATTCTCACCTGTGGTTAAAACCTTACAACGTTGAAGTCAGAAGAAACTTCCGGACAAGAGAGGTCTGTGTGGCACGGCACTTGTATTGAGATGGGGCAGAAATCCCTTTAGTCCTCAAATAAATTGTCTGGCAATTTAACACATTGAGTTTACATTTTTTTCTGCCCACAACCTTCTGTAACTTTCAGTCTGGAAGGCAGTAAAGACATATCTCCCGCACCTTGGAGGAGTGCTCCTGTCACTGGGCTTCTACATACAGCTTTCACCAGGTCCTGCCTCTTGGAAAATGTTTGAAAAAACTTAAGTGAGCCTTGACAGATTTTCTGAGCAAAGGGGCACAGGGACCTTTTCTACAGAGAGGCCTCCCACCTGTGGATCCAGGTGTATGAAGATATCCCCTTACAGCTCCAAGCAAACCAAAGAACAATGACACTTCTGAAATCTGCTAGTTTTCTGTATTCTCATCAGCACTTGGTACTTCCAATTTGCGAGTGTTATTTATTTTTCGTTGTTCTTACTTAGCATTTGAGCCACTGTGAATGTCCATTTTGAGGCACTCTAAGTCAGATACCTCAAATATGAATGCATAGGAGCTGCTGCTGTGTGGAAGTCCTTGTGTCCAGCGCTGGCTTATCTCATCACTGACCACAGCTGTATAGCCAGTGATGTAGCATTGTATGCCTGCGGGTCTCTAAGGTTGATGTTTGCCAAAGAAATAATGCTTCTTTGTTTTCTGTTGAACAGTTAAGGAACCTGACAGAAGGGAGGAGATGCTGACAACTGGCAATGGATGCAGTGGAACAGGCAGCACAGAGGGCAGGAGCTCAGACCAGAACTCGCAGATGCTATGTACTCAAAAGTCAAATGTTACTTCTTTTCCGTTGCTGGTTGTTAGGAAATTCTTGTGTCAAACACTGTGGGGGGAGAAGGGGGCAGGTTTTTCCCTGAGCTACATCAATAATGAAATTTCTGCTTAGCATTCCAGGAAGCATAACACAAGGCCAGTTGATTTCATAGCAAGCTGCCAATGGTGTTAAGCCTACCATCACGAAGAAGGCTGGTCCCTGGTGGACTGTTGGCTGCAGCTCAGCAATGACTCATGTTTTGCTATTTCGCAGCAAAAAGTCTTAAACTTGCACTGTTCTAGGAGTCAGACCCTGCATTAACTTCTTTAAACTTCAGTTGCTTACGAGGGCAGTCTGCTAAAGGGATGGCGTTGTTAGCCTGGCAAGCTGGCTGTCAGAGCTGTCACTGAAAAGAAAATACTGAATGAAATGCCATCTCTTGAGAGGTCTGTGAACTGAAAGTATGACGAACTTATCTATGGCACACTGCTTGTTAGGAATGGTGCTCTCTTAGCAAAGGCACTTTACATTTTCTACATAAAAAGGTAGCAAAACCTCTCTTGCTTCCCAAAGTAAATGTTTTAGGAACAACGCTAGGTTCCTTCTTTCCCCGCTCTCCCTGTGCCAAACAACAAACCCTGTAGACCTGTTTTATGGCTCAAGTCTGTAACACAAATAAATATTTGTTCATCTGTTATTCACACTAAAGCTAAAATGAAGACTGAAAGAAGTGCAAAGAGCAATCTTTATACAATACAAGGGGATAAGAAAAAGCACATAGTAAAAAAAAAAAAAAAGCCCAAACCCAAAACAAGCAAATCATCCTGTCCCACCCTAGACTTCAAAGCTATGAAGGATTTAGATGTGTTTGTGGCAAGCTTGGTGGAACAGAAGAAGTACAGAATGCGACCGCGGACACATCAGACCTTATGAAGCACATATAATTTATGTGTCCAAGTGCTTAAGTGACTACACTGGGTAAATAGCATTTTTACAGATGTAGGACTGCACTCCTCCTGCTACCAGCACTTCATTCCCTCTATTAACACAGCAGTGTGATTAAGCATAGAGAGTCGCTCAAGAGAGTCATCCCCACTCTGCCTACTGTAGCTCTAAGAAGTGCACCTAGGCTCCATGTGACAAGAACTTAAGATCTCCATAATAGAAATATTGCAGGACACATGGAAGTTTTAACAAACACAGTATCTCTTCATAATTTTTCTTTTTAATTTAAAGAATACCATCATGTAAAAATTTGGCAACTCTTTAATTCAAGGGAAATGGCAACGGCATCAGGTAATACCTCAATCCTGTAAATGAAAGACAACGAGCATAGTTAGGTAACACAATCTATGATGTGTTAATTCCCAGCCTTTGTGGATGAAAGCTTACAAGTTATTGCAGCCAGGCAGTGAAAGCCTAGAAGCTGACAGCTATGCTCCGTTTTTCATGTGCAGGATCAGGTTATCATCATATGGCATTGCTGTCACCCTCCGTGAATTAAAAGAGTCATTGCATCACAGGCTGTGAGAAATTAAAGACTGACTTGTTCCCAGCAAAAGAGAAGATGACCAAAGGACTAGGCAACTTTTGACAGTCTGTGTCTTGAAATCATGTTTAAGAAGTGTCCTGGAAGTGAAGGGAATGAATTGTATCCGTCATATGCCACAGGAGGTATGTGTGGGGGGGTCCTACGTGGAAGTTATTACCACATGAGAAGACAAGTAGGTACCTGGTGATTAAACACGCTCTCCTTCCTCTGAAATACTTTTCTTCTGATTCTTTGCCCCTTGAGGAGCAGTAAAAAACGCGGTGGTGGGGCATAAACCAAACTAATGTTGAAAGCGACAGCTGATACACAGGGGACTAAGGAAAAACTCTGTTTTGAGCCCAGTGACCCCCAGGCTCCCCGGGGCCTAGAGAAAACAACCCAAAAGAGAACAGCAGAGGGGTCAGCGGAGCACTGAGCCCACCTGCTTTAGCAGCAAGCTGCATCCTCAGACTTGCTGGTTCAGAGAACTGGCCGTAGTATTTCCATTTCAAATTATGACAGAAGAAGTGATGCCATTATATTTGGCATCCATTTCCCTGGCATTCAAATGTTTCATTGAAAACAACTCCCACTCCAAAAAGCTCCCCCAAAACAGGGGATGGTTATTGTTCAAAATGCATTTCAATCAGAAGAAAAGAACACAGAAACGAAATTTCACTCCCACCCCTCTTTTCTGATCGTAGCAGAAACAATAGAAGTTTACTTCTATCAAAAACCATACAGATCTGTCCTACAGTCAGCGCTGCAGCTTCTCTTCTGTTGCTCCCCTTGCAGAAACAATTAGTGGATTGCTATTTTTTTAAAAATATCCTTCCTGTTTGCTTTGCTGTAAACCACATCCACAGTTTCAACACTTTCTCTATGGAAACATAGTTTGACTCCTCCCTTCTCCTAGTGATAACCGACTGATGACCCGCTCGGTTAGACTTACTAGATGTTCATTTTGGAACAGGCTGAATCTTGCTCTAATGAGTTTCATAAGCACCATGACTCTCTGGACATATCTACATTGTGCAAAAACTTGATAAAACAATCCTTGAATGAGTATGCAAGTATAGTTCTGCCCAAGACTAGGTCCAGAATCAGTGCAGTGATTTTATTTTATTTACCCAAGCTAAAAGCTTGTAATATGGCTGCACTGACTGTGGCTCCAGCTGCCTCACATGGTCAGAAGACTGACCATACAGGGTCAGTCCATACATAGGAGTAACGGTCCTGGTGTAAAGTTCTTCTGCTGATACCACTCTCTGAAAGAGAGAGAGAGAGAAAAAGGGGCCGTTGCATGTTAACAGGTGTCAGCACTCTTGCCTGGCCATGCCCGGCATCTCATCAGTTGTCCCTTTGTCTCATTAAATTTCACCTCTAATTATTCTCCTGAGTGAGGAGCTCTGTTCTGTGTGGACGCACAAGTGCCAAGGGTTGCAGGGACCTGGGTGCCTGCGGTACCAGCAATGGGGCACCCACACAGGCACGAGCACGTGAGCACTAGCGAAGTGCAGGCTGGAAGCTGGACTAACTGGTGAGTGGGTGAAGTGGTCTGGGAGGAGTGGCTACAGGAGTGTACGGCCACCGCAGGGACAAGGGGAGTCCTGGCTGATGGCCAGGGAGCTGTGTGTGTGCGGGATGCGCTGTACCAGCAACTGCAGTGGAAATGCATCCTTGGGGGTTTGTAGGTCCGTGTGCCAGCAATGGGGAGACTGGGATGCAGGGGCAGCTACTGGGCAAGACTGAGTGTCTGAGCCCAGCTGTAGCAGCAATCCATGCTGGAATTTTATTTCCATTACTGAAATATATACATAAAATATATTATTTTATGTTATAAAAACATAAATTTTATATTTAAAAAAAAAATCCACTACTGGAAAAATATTTTTATATGTATATATTATTTTTTATATATATATATTCCAATAATGGACTTCACTGTGATCAGCCAGAAAGGGGAACAGGATGAGGCCACTGGTGCTGTTCATTTGAATGCTGACTGCATCTGACTGTGCTGATCTGTGTGGCCACCGGCACATATATGCATATACATGCTGTATATGTGTGTTTGTGTGTGCAAGCCTGGGAATACACTCTCAGCCTCACTACTGGGGGCACAAAGCTGTGACAGCCCTACTACTCTATTTGGCTCTCCCTAACATTTAATTTCTGTTGGCCCAGCCTTACTGTTTCTCCTGATACCAGAGAATCATTAAATCTTCAAGTAATCCCACTGAATAAACTGCTAATAAAATTTTCTAATAAAATCACACAGAACATATTTCTGTGCGATGATGGGCAGCACCATGGCGATCCACTTAAAAATTAGGTACCCCAAACCTCGGAATTTTTCTACCTTTTGCTATCCCAACTTTCCTTCGATCAGTCTGAGGGCAAATAAGGTAAAGGTAGATTTAAACCCACCTCATACGTAAAATATCCACCTAGGTTGCAGTCATACTAATGGTTTTGGGAAGTAATCCTCTACTTCCAGCATTCCTTGTGCAAGTCCTAATTTTATTATACTTTATTTTATACAACAATCCTGTATAAGCCTGGTGTTAGGCAGCAAGAGGTACATGAAGGTGGGCTCTCAGTCAGAGCGTGCTCCTCCAGGACTTCGGCAGAGGGTGTCTGAGCTGCTCTGCCCGCAAGTCCCGACCCGTAGGCAGACCCAGGTTCCTCCCAGAACGGATTTGGATGACAACATACAGTGAGTTTCTCTTAGGAACTCTCTAGAGTTCACAAGCCGCAGTGTTTTTACAGGCAACAGGGCGCATTCTTCACCACCCCACCAGCCCTCCCAACCAGAATTTAGTCATCCAGTGCTTGTGCTCGCCTTCAGCCTTCCGCCACGTGAGAAATGAGACGAGGCATCCTGAGAAGCCTGACATACTGCAGCTGCCAAGGCAGGCTGCGGTCTCTCGCGTTAGTGGCAGATGACAGCTCACTTATTTGAACACAGACAAAGAGAAGTCTGCCACAGAGCAGTTCCTGCAGGACTGGCGGGAGGAAGCAGCTGTCAACTATTTCTTGGATTACAGGGATAAACATATTTCCAGCAACAGCTTTAGGCTATGCAACTCTAAAATCCTGAAGACAATTCAAGGTATTCTTGTACCAGGAGAGGGGTCAAACCAGAAGGCTCTTATAGCTGAACTCTTAAATCTTCTCCGAAACAAGAAATACATCTCCTGGACTTATTACGGAACTCGGTAAGAGCCAAAATAAACAGCAGCATCACTTTTTTAGAGAGAATACAGAGTACGCTGGAAGTTTATTGAGTTTTGCTTTATCTGGGAAAGAAACCGTAAGACACTGCCTGCCTTTGTTAAGCCCTTGAATGGATGCCTTAATACAAATTTCAGCCTCATTGAGCAGGGTACAAATTAACTATCTGAAGGGAACTATATGAGAAAAAGAGGAAGAATGAACCGGCTCCACAGAGATGAAGACTAAGGCCAGACGAGAGAATAACTTTCTTTGAAGAACTAGTTTTCTCATTCTGGTACTTAAAATGATCCTGCTACATAGGAAATGTAGAAGAGTTTTACAGAACAAAAGAGGATGTGGCTTAATTTTCTCAGCAAGACATTAAATCCTGTGGATAAAAAAAATAGCAACAAAATTGCTCAAATCTGGCAAGTTACGTATAGAAACAGTACATTGAAGACAACAAACGACATCCAGAAAAAGATGGGCATTGTGTAATTTATGGACGCATTTGTGTGTTTTGTTTCCAGCTCTCTATATGGGAATTCTGTAACTTTAACCTCAGCAGAAGGAGCACAGGCGATTAACACAGACAAGAAAGAAGAAGTAAGCTCAGGCAGTGAGTCATAGCCGCTATGCAAACTTTGCCGTACATCTGTGTTTTCCCATGCTGCTCTGAACCCTTGCCTCAGACTCTTGCAATGGACAGAATGCCAAATATGAGTAGATCAAATTGTATTTTTCCACCCCGGGCTTCTTTTTCAAGATGAAAAAGTACCCACTGGGGACCAGAGTTGGCACTTGCAGAGGAACCGAGCAGTGTCCCTGGGTCTAAAACGCGCTGCCTAAAATTTCCAGCTCCTTCAAACCGGGCCTCCAGCCTGCAGAAATGAGCTTCGGTTTCCCTGAGGCTGTGCTGGAATTTCCAGGGGTAGACGGGAATAAAGAAAGCAAGTGGTGACTTTTAATACACCCCACCTGCTGTCTCAGCAGGCTGAGGCATGAGCCCTGCCCGCTGGAGGAGGCAGGAGGGAAGAGCCTGCTGAAAATCGCGCCGACTGAGGGCTCATCGCAGGCGGTCAGCCTGGCCAAAATTCAGCTCCTCGGGCATCCAAACCAAAGGCTGCCAGTTACGTGTTACGTTTATGACCAGAAAATACACGGAGCATTTTTCTCTTCAAAAATGAAGGCATGGAAAAGGGCTCCAAGCCTGTTTGCTGTCAGAGCAGGAGACTAGATGTCTGATGCATTAGCCTCTGTCACTTTGGTGTGTGTCCCCCCCTGGTTTTGCCCCCACAAACAGGAACTGCTGTGTAGCACGCACTGGCCATTTTTTCCACCTTCCTCACCACAGCTGGCCTGTGATCAGCCCTCTCTTTGGCTGAGACAAACTAAGGATAAAGGTGAAGTACGGGGCATTGACGGCTTCCTTCTCTCCACCCATGGGCACACAAGTAGCATTCAAGACAGCTGCACAGCTGGGACATAAGGAGCGGCCCAGCTGCCAAGTCCTACCTCCAAAGGGACATAGCTCACTACCACAGTCCCTCACCCTCTCCATGCCTACACGTGCTCCTTGCTCTCAGTACACATAGGTGACTGCAAACGACCATCCTGTCCCCACGGAGCCTGGGCTGGGCTGTGCTGGGCTGGGATGGATGCATTTCGGAAGCAAAGGCAACGCCAGTACTCTCGCAACCAGATGCTCTGAGCCCAAAGTACATGAGACCAGCCATTTATTCAGTGTCTGTGAGACAAGAGAAGACAGCTTACCTGGTTGGTCATAGGATGCCCATGCTAGGTTTTCTCCACATTTTCCATTAGCAGACTCGGAGCTGTGTTTGAGGACCCTCGTGGTAGCCAGTTCTTCTGCATACCTACCAAAGGAATTCACACACTGAGTCACGGACCACAGCCACAGTGAGCAGAGAGGAAGGAAAGCAGGAGGAAAAGGAGGAGATGTAAGCAAGGAATTTTGCTGGAAGATGACAGTTTAAGCCAAGTTACTTAGCTGCAAAGTCCTGAGGTCAGGGATGCTTTAAGCTTACGTAGATCTAGGAGTTAGGCAAAGGGAAGGACTAGAGGCCATTTTCCTTGTTTTTCATAAGCACCTGTGTCACCACTAAGAAGGCTCTAGAAGAAATCAAAGGGCAGCTCTCTGCTCACCATGTTCTGCCCAGCACCTGGAAATCCACAGGCCATCCTTAGCTGCAGCTGCTGGGGGCAAAGGGAAGTACCTGCAGCAATTGCTACAGGTGTCACCTCCTGACATTTCTAGGCCCCTCATGGGAGTAACTTAAATGTTCTTGATGAGATGGAAAAAAAGACCAAAATGAGGATTCAGCCAAAGCAAGTGTAAAAAAACAAGAGCAATGTGCCAGACAACAGTATGGAGGAGAAGGGGACCACTCAGAAAATCTGAGGCAACAACTGTGTATACCAACACAGGGATAAGCAGCACTGTTTCTATAGAAGTTGACATGTGTGAGAGTGTGGGATGTATTTTATTGTCTTACAACAATAGGGTTAAGAAGAACATCATGTGTAAAACAATTATTCTCTTTATTCAACATTGGAAAGGCTTCAGTACAGAGACAGTGAAATTGGAAAGACAATTTGTTATTTCTCACGGCACAAGAAATAGGAGGTAACGCATAGAATCATCAAGTTGTAGATTTAAAAGTCAAGTAAGATAAAGCACTTTTTCCATACTGTGCAGCAGAAGTCATCGCCACAGGATGATGCAGACATGAAAGCGCATCTGGGTTTGAAAAAGAGCTAGACAAATTTACAGTGTGTATATGGGCGGGGCAATCTTCATGGCTTATTAAACATCAGAAACCAAAAAATGAGGATACAACCTACTGCTTAGGAAAACCATATTTTCCAGGAGAAATCTGTAATTTCTGGGAGAAGATATTGGGGGAAGCATCCCCGCATTTGTTTCGTCCTGCTACTCCTTCCCTAATCATGAATTACTGGCATCTGCCAGAGACAGGAAATTTGTCCACTGGAACATTTTGGCCCAAGCTAGTAGTTCAGTCATTAGGTTCTCATTTCCTTCTGTCCTAATCCTTCCACCAAAACAACAACAAAAAAAGTATTTAGCTACCTCCATTAATTTAGAAATAATGAAAACTGTCAGTTGTCAGACTGCTAGATCCTGAGCTAGAGGATCTCTAGACGGTCCTTCAGGCCCTTTATCACTACAATCCTGTAATTTTTCTCTCCAAGGATTCCCACATCCCAAGCAAGAGGCAAGACTGGAACAAACTACACATTGCACATGGATAAAGTTGCCAAGGTTTTGAGACAAAGGGTGATTAATTCACTCTAGCTCAGGCAATTGAAAGCATGAGATCTGCATCTGAGATCATCACCCTATGCTTCATTACAGTCAGAGATAAACAGACACCTGCTGAGGGTGACTCATCTCATGCTAAAGCAGAGATCCAATAGTCAGTTCATCTAACCTGTCGCAACTATTGGAACTGAAAATAGTAGGAAACAGACCATTTTCAACACAGATAGAGAAGGACAGAAAAGCACCCAGAGATACACCAAATATATACCAACAAAAATATCAGATACACCTAAAGAAAAGGTGAAGTTCTTTGAATTTAAGATTATGTAAAAGCTGCCTTGACAAATATGAGATTTCTTATATTTCATGTCTTTTATCCAGATCAAACCATTTCTGCTTCTTGCTATCAACCAGTCTCACCAGTCTCTGAACATGTGTCTTAATTCTCAAAATTAAGTTACAGACTGCAACCAAACAAAGGTTTCCTATTGTTGCTCATCACAGTGGGGAAAGTCAGCTGAGACCAGAGAGGACTGTAAGGAATTCCAGAAGGATCTAAAAATAGCCAGCAAGGGCAGTAGCACACTTAGAGATAAATGTGGAGCAATGCATATTTCACAGAATAATCTGAACTATTCATACAAATTGACTTGTTCAAACCAACTGTAGCACTTTGGAGACACAAATGTCATTGACAAGTCAATGAAATGTCTTCCTCGTTGTGAGGCACCATGTAAAACAGAAACAAAACAACCCTTTGAAGAACAGAAGGAAAACCCCAGCAGATTACAAAGGTATGTGGATGAATCACTGGCATTCCATCTCTTAGAAATACTGTATCCAGTTACCATTGTGTCTCAAGAAAAAAAAAAAAAACGTGAAAAAATAAAGACAGAATCAGCCTTTGCTTGCTGCCAGAGGGCACGTCCACATGCCACGCACATGGTGTGTTGTACAGCACAACACCCGGCACAGATCTCTGGTCTAGAGTGCAGGAGCTGGTGCATCTGTGTGACAGCACAGCACCATGCTGGGACAGTAAGTCAGGTTCTGGAAAGGCTACAGCCTCTCTGGCTCCTCGCCAGCCAGCATGGAGAAGTCTGTGCAGTTATGGTAGAAAGCATAACAGGAGATGAGATCTCATGTCTGCCGGGATAAAACTGGCCACTATTCAGCTATTATGGAAAGACATTTATTTTCTGAATCGTTTAATCAGCATTTACTCCTTGAGGTATCTCCTTTGTACTGTGAGGATCAGCCTGAAAAATTGAAGATTTTCAAATCTACTTTGAAAAAGGTTTCTGTAAAGGGAAAGGAAATAATCTGGTTGTCATGTCTACGGCAAAGAGGACAAGCAGTAATGAACTCAAATTTCTGTAAGGAAGACTTTAATCACACTGCAGGAAGATGGATCCGCTGTACATTTGACTGACAAGAAGTTGTGCAGTCTTCAGCACTGGAGAAGAGGTAAGATTTGTCCCTCCTGACAGAGTAGAGAACAACGTATACTGATTTTGCTTTTGGGGCAGGGAGACAGACAATTTGATCTGAAATTACTTCCCTCTGATTCCATTGATCTTAGACCAGCCATCACCTCCTACCATGAAAAAGGTTATTTCCTCCACTGTTTCAGCAGCAGTGGATATTCTCCTGCAGATGACAATCCATCATCTGACAGAGGTGGTGGTGAAGTATGTTTTAGGCAACTACCCTCTGCAGAGAAGACACACCAGTGCAGACAGATGCAGCCCACATCTGGAAAAGGGTGCAAGAAAGATTTATACAACTGTGACCACGGAAGTGCCCATGTCACCAGCTGGTGCTATGTGATGGAGAAAGGAGGGACAAAAAGAGTTGGGTAGGGAGACACAAGGAGTGGAGTCCCTCACTTTCCACCTAGTAAGTCTTCATTGAATATCAGCACGTCAAAAGGCAAATATTTTTGCAGTATGCACAGTCAAACCTAATAGATAAAAGTGTCACAAGTCTCATGAGAGAAAAGAAAGGACTGAACTCACTGTTGGGCTCCTCTGTTTAACTTCTTGCAGAGTTTTAATGGGGGGACTCCATGTTTCTTCCTGTAGTCATTGTGTGCTTTCAAGACTTCTTCAGCAAATTGTTTGGAAGCTGAAATCACAACAAAAAAATTGGAAAAGTCTGTCAAACACAGACACCAGTGAACTCAGAAAAAGCATACCCTGTAGCTAAGATGCTGGCACAGGCTGGACTGAAGAACAGAAGCATACAACCTTCATTACCTGGGAGCAGGATGGAACGAACCGTTAATGCCTTCCATCCGGGAACTAACTGTAAGACACACTCCCCGTGGATGGTACACACTCACTAAAGGTTGAAGAAAAACGTGAACCTTATTCCTCTCCTGAATAGCAAGGTGATTAAAGGTTAGTTTGACTGACTTTCATTTTAAGATATCAGTGCACTGCATCACCATTGCAAAGTCTCAGAGTAAGCGACAAATAGGTCCTTTGAGGAGATGCACTAAAAATGTAAATTATTCTCACTGTATGCAAGAATTTTCTGTATTAGTCAAGACACCACCTAAAGAAAACAAAGATACTAAAATGCTTAGAACTATGCAAATACTTTGAAACACGCACCATTCTTTTTATTCATTATATAGTACAAATTCATAGAAATCTCAAAATGCACCTTTATTTGGCTCCAAGAAAAGTAATTGTTCGTAAACAGCAAGTGATAAGAAAAGAAATGGCTGCTGGGAATGTTTTTTTTTTTTTTATCCTGTGCAGAGTGTATTTGGCAAATATTTGAATTCCAAAGTTACTGCAAAGCTTTAAAAGAGCTCATGTTTGTACCCTGGTAAACTTGGGACTTTCAGCAGCGCAAGGCAGAGGACAAGCAACAAGTCACAGTGCATTTCACTTTCATGGCAATTTCATGCTACCTCCTTTTATGACTTTGCTGATTTTTCGCAAGATTTGGAGGAAAAAAAAATTCTCTGTCATTGGTCACCCTGTGGAATTTGCGGCTTTAAGAGAAATTTGGAACCTGAAAACAGGGTATTGGGACAGTTAGAGAGGTATGGATAGCATCCTCAAGACAGAAAGACAGTTTTCACTTTCTCTGTCTTGCTGAAACTTCTGAACAGGCCAAGACATCTTTGGGTATTTACTCTGCTTTTACCGTGACACAGGTTTCTGCAGTTATTAATGATTCATCAGCTTCATTTCTGAATATCCTAATTAGCACGACTACCATAATTTTCCTTGTGAGACACTTTTGAAACCCAAATAGACCTCATGACTAGAAAGTGTTTCCTGTTATTAAACTCAGATTTCTCAACTTCCTCTCACTACTTGATCCTAAGAACTATAATCAATCATTCTCTCCTTTATTAGTGTGTACACTATTCTGGTGTTTGTAATGATGCGTTTTCCCACAGCAGAGCTGTCAGTTTGCACATACTGCTCTCGTAACTTTTTCCTACGGTGACTACCCAACCCACGCTCATGCTTTAAGCTGTTCTCAGCCTTCTCTCCAGTTTCCCCAACAGCTTTAGGATAACACAGCAGCCTAAGGTAATCTCTGTATCTAATGCATACAGAAAGCTGTTCCTGTTTCATGCAATACCTTAAACCTTTTGAACACAGACTGCAGTTGGGTTGACCTTTTCCAGACCAAAGCATCACTGTGGACAGGTATCTAATATAGTCTCCATCAATGTGCTTTCAGGCTAGATTTTTTTGGTATAAAATTGTTGGCATGAGACAGCTAAGAATTCAGCAACAGGAACCCTATTGAGTGAGATGAGATCTGCCCACCACCTTCCTCCTCTTAGGTTTTCCTTTGATTTTGTGTGTCACAAGTTACATATCATCAAACAAAACGGGCACCTCTACTCTGGTATTTAAGCACCCACACACCTTTTTGCTAACAAACCTGTCCCATCACTCTTAGTACCATTGCTCAGAGCTCACTGGTTCTATCAGGCCAGAGTCCTAAATCTGCTGCATCATGAGAGGTCATGACCCATTTCTAAGGCATGTCTCGGAAGTTACTGAGGAAAGCAAGGCTACAGCCTGTTCACTTAACTTCACCGATGCAGGGATCCATGCTCCCAGCAGGGAAGTTTTAAGACAGTCTGCAAATCAAAGAAGTTGAAATACATGGCTTTGGAAGTTGCACCACACACTCCAGGCTGCATTTTTCTGCACAAGACCATCTTAAGGCTTGTGGCTGTTATCACCTAGACTTAGTATCTCATCCACTCAGCATTAAATAGTAGATAAACAATCTGACCTGCAAGTGGGAGGGTTTCTAGTCAAATTATTTACTCTCAATGACAATAACAAATTCAAATTCTAAAAAAAAAAATGAAGTCAACTGAAATACAGACTTTGTCAATTGTCAGTCCATCCATTAACAGAAGTATTGCACCATGCAGTTCTGTACTAAGATTCTGACTTAAAAAGACCAACAAGAGAGGGACAAAACTGAAATTTCTTCTAGCCACGGCAGGCACCGCTGTGCTGTCCCTAGAGAACCTCCATCCTCCCCTTCCCTCAAAGGTGGCTGCTATAGAAACACTTATCTACTGTGACTCAAGCTCATGTGCTAACCGCCCCTCCCCCCCCCCTTCTCCCATGCATGCTGATGTGAGGAGAGGGACGCCCAACTGCCAAATCTATTTCAGATTTGTTTTGGAAGACACGTTAAGTTTTTCCATTTTACCAATGTTCCATATGCTGAGAAGCCAGCCATTAAAAGTGAGAGTTAATGGGAGTTTTCAGGCTCCCACCCAAATGGGAACAGCTTCCCAAACAGCTTTGGAGACGTACTTTTTTCCCTTCATGTAGCCTGCTTAAACTGCTAGAAAAAATTATTTCCTACTGCCAGGAAGTTAGTTTTGGTCATGAATCATTACACAGCTTAATAAGTAAAACAATTAAAGGCATTAGATATCGTTGTTTGCTTCTCAATATTCAATTATTTACCCCTATTTTAGATTCTTCTGGAACATTGGCTAAGATAATGACTGCACATAACAATGAATTCCCAGGCTATAATGTGGTACAGAGCACACATTACAGTTGTTATGTTTTTGGACTTTCAGTTTTATTCATCAGCTTTGTGCGACTGTGGAAAAGTGAGCAGAGGTATCTAGGCTGCGTTATCCCATCAGATTTTTTTCCTGAGTATTCTGTTTCTCCATTCTCTTAGTGTCTCTAAACAGTGCCAATCTAGTCAGTCGTTCTCAAGTGAAGAACTCTTCATGAGGAGGAACTTCTTTATTTTGAGGGTGGCAGAGCACTGGAACAGGCTGCCTAGAGAGGTTGTGGAGTCTCCCACACTGGAGACATTCAAAACCTGCCTGGATGCTGTCCTGTGCAACCTGCTGTAGGTGACCCTGCTGTGGCAGGGGGGTTGGACCAGATGATCTCCAGAGGTCCCTTCCAACCCTGACCATTCTGTGATTCTGTGATTCATGCCTGAATCTTTCCTGCCTCTTCTTTGAACCCTGTCTTCTCCTGCTCTGTTCTTCCCTTAGTTTGGACATCAAAAAAGAAGCAAGTTATCTGAACATGCCTTCCAAAATACTCGCTGCTCTGCATCATCTTTGCAGCCGTCAACTGGACCTACTCCACTGGTCTTGCAGAGCTGCAAGATGATATGCAGAAAGAGTAACAGTAAAATATTCCACAAAAAACAAACATGAAACCTCTCCACCCAGTATCTACACAACAGAAATGCTGTGGGCAGCCCTTAAGTCACCACTCAGGACACACATTATACCAGGCATACACCTGACTAGCAAAAAAGACATACTTTTTTTATGACTAAGTATCCACCCCAGTGATTCAAGAAAGAGCACAGTATCAATTTCTAGAAGTATCATTGTCTTCTCAGTGTTCTCTGTCCTATTGTTTATGGACAAATCTTCACTGGCAATTTTGTACTTTCCATACACACTAATTATTTCTGTTTAGCCTTCAGATAATTAACATATAATGTAATCAACAAGAAATGGACCTCATGTAGAATCCTACACAGACGTGTACCATTACATTTGTCTCAATCCCTCTTTGAACCATGACATAGGCCTCAACTCTTCACCCAATGTGTGCATTACAGGTAAGTGCAGACAGTGACTGCACCTTTCAGTTCTGCCCCAAAATAAATAATTAGAGATGTGCTCATGTAATGGGAGTGCAACATATCTGAAGAAAGCTACAAAACACGCTTCAAAGGACCCCCCCTTTGGAAAGAGGTAAACACAAAAACCTGACATCAACAGCCTTGGCAATGTGACTCGTACTACCCAGGACACTGCATGTTCCTTCCACATTCTTTCCTGCCCAGAACAGAGAGAGGAACATTAGATACCCAGGCAGAAAGAAGCCAAGTGCCAGAATACATGGAGAGGACACAAATGCAAAGTGGACAGAAAATACGTAATAAGGTAACCGGGTACCTGTTTAAACACTGAGTATAGCTCTGCTTTAATACTGAAAATACCTGCTGTAGGTGAACGTACTTTAGCAGGGGGGTTGGACTAGATGATCTCCAGAGGTCCCTTCCAACCCCAACTGTTCTATGATTCTGTGATTCTGTGATTCTGTAATTCTGTGAAATCCCTTCAGTCTCCCTGGACGCTGCAGAATTGCTTTACCCTACTCTGATAGCAGCAATGGGGTGTGGAATGAGAACACAGCAAATACAACTGTTAATGTACACAACAGCTTTGTGAAAAAATTCACTGGAGGCATTAGGGAACTGCAAAGTAATTACATCAAGAAGACCTTTACTGAAGATACCTCTATTTCGAGAAACTTCTCAAGTATATTAACAGATTGGAAACAAACAAAATTGTTGAGTAAAAGACATCCCAGCTTCTAATGACCACATTTTCATCTAGACCTTTCTAAGAGACCTGACATATCTATTATTAATATTTTTTTAATTATGTTAGTAATAATCTTTATCCTCTCCTGAAATGTAATACCCTGGAAACTAGCCCCAGCTGAATCTTCCACACTCTGAGAATAACGTTCCTTCAATGGAGAAGTGATGAGTATTTCACTGATATGAGAAATGTTAAGAGGGCAGTTATGCCTCAACTGCATTTTGACTCTGCACTTTGGTTTGAA